ACTATTTTTATTGGCCGAAACTGGGAACACCAGTAAATAGACGAATTTCACCATATCGACGGAAATGAACACGAAAATGTCGTCGCCGTAGAGCTGGATAAATTTTTCTGAAGTTAATTATACTCTAACTTTTTACCATGATGCACTTCGCGAAGAACACCGATTGTTTCAGAAGGATCAAGAGATATCACGCCCAAGTTTCTGTGGTATTCTGCCATTCCAACATTATGTCAATAGTATAGGGTGAAGTAGATCATAGAAACAGCAGTTTCTTTCGGGCTTCCTGCAAAGATGCTGAATGGAGACACTTTGGGAGGGCTGAAGATATCAGGCAGTTTTCGGTTCTTTCCAGCTTTCGATTTCCACTAAAACATGTTTTGCATATATTAATAATAATTATATTTAATACCAGCTGGCAGACAATGTCAAAATAAATAAAGTGTGGTCTAGGTAGCAGTGTAATAATTCATTGTTACTCGTGTTTTTCAGTAGTTGAGTTTATTTAGATAAAATATACATGGTGAAACGATGGTAGTTCGCAACGGAGACCGGTTGGCAGAGGTTCAGCGGGCGTTTTCCGACTCCCCTTCTTTTCATGGAATCGTGATTCTATACCAGACAAGGGTGCATGGACTAACGGTTGCCAGCTGCATAGTCAGCACCATTGCTGTCCAGATGATGCTGAGAACGGACTCAGAGACCGCGAACTCCATCACGCAGGAAAATAAATTCGATTGAGTCGGCACCCAAACTTCGTGGAAGCTGTTCTGAATGAAGATAACAACTGATAATTCGCATGAGAAAGAATTATTTTTCAGAATTTTTATCTTCCCGGGTAACTTATTCCAGATTACAATAGCATTCACCGAAACGAAATGATGCTAACAAACTGCGCGTGCCAGAAGAAATCAAAAGTGGTCGCGGAGTTTGCTGTGTCAACAGATGATTCAAAGTAATGAGAAAATTAGAAGCACAACTGCTTAAGAGCTGAACCGGTAAGCACTTTTTTAAACCGGCGAAACCACAAAGGATTAAGGTTTGTAAGCTGTGGTACATGAAGTACGGTGTTCTGAGGATAAGACTATTTCTGTAAAAAATGCTGAACCGATTCTATTTTTCCCCGCTTACGAGCGCACAAAAGGCTAAAAGGAAGTGAACAGTATTCCAGGCCGGGCCTAATATACATTTTATAAAGACGGGTTCTAATGTCGATACTGTACAATTTTTGGGAATTTACCCGGGTGTTCGGCGTGCTTTGGACACACAATCAGGGCTCGGTACTGTGAGAAACGGAACTAACGCGTCCGTTGGTCTGGCGCACTTTCATCAATATCTTCCCATCTTAACTGGCAAGACGACGAGTTCGTG